GATCTGTGAGTGAACAAGCAGCAAGCAGTCAGTGTGAGAGGCTGGTTTCCTGTCCATGGAGAGTATTAGTGAGACTGGTTCTGTCTGTTCTTGATATTCTCTTCTTAGAAAGGAAGGCAGAAGATGAGATGAAGAAGAGAACCGTAACAAGGATGGGAGGACCAAACAAGATGTGTGACAGGGAAGGAGACAAGTAAATATTTCCTTTTTTAAGAATATAAAGAAGTGAGTATGTGACCCAAGGATGGTGGAAAAGGCAGAAGTATCAGATTACAAACAGCTCTTTATCCAAATTGGCTAGTAAACAAAAAGTGCCAGGGAATCTGCAATTAAAAATTATCACAGCCATGTGAAAAAATCAGTCCAAGATATCTTTTAGAATCATTATTCCTGACTTAACCAAGATTAGATGCCTTTCTAGCAAAAACTCTTCAGTCAAAAGTAAGTTAAACTCAACAGTGGGTCAAGAGGTGAAGTATACTGGGTAAAGATCAATGTTCCTTCTTCTACCTTAATAGTAGAGACAGTTAGGCATATAATAATTACTGTCTCTTCTAGCAGAACAACATAAATAGATCTATTTTTAAATAGCTTATTTCAGATAGTGCCTTCTCATTCTTATCTGTCCAACTAGATGACTTCTCTGAAAAACTCTGATTTTTTATTTTTAATGTCCTGTTCAATTGAAGAGTTAGTAGGGTTCAAAGAAGATAAGAGTCTGATCTCAGCAACAGAATTGCTTGTAAATGATCCATCTGCTCCAGCTGTTCAAAAGCATAGGCAGTAGTAGGTTTGGCTAAAAGTGTCCAAAATGCGATGAGATGTAACTCAAATTCCAGTTGTAGCCAGCAGCCAGTTTCTAGTGTCATATAAACTGGAAAAAAATCCAACCTTACTTAGCATGGCCTGAATTTAAAGGAATAAGTTTTCAGAAGCAAACAGCTTTAGCACTGTCAGCTAAGCACACTTGGTCTTGTATAAGACACATAGGTAACAGGACAAACTATTAACGATTTGGGGCACAGATGTTAACCCACTGCACTCATACTTGTGACTTGCTCTTGCAGCACTTGAGTAAAAGACCACGTTACTCTGTTTGTTTGAGGAAAAGAGGTCATGGAAGAAACCAGAAGGAAATCTCAGAATGTTTTCATGAATCCGCATGTTTCAGCTGAGAGTATTTCAGGAAGAGAGTTTTCTCAACACCCAGGAAAGGGAAATGAAATAGCTAAGCTCCAGGCTTTTTGAGGGCAGTTCTGTGCTACAGCACACTGGGACACTTAAGCTCTGCATTTAAGCACACCAGGGGGAGTGATTCCTATTTGATGAGGTCCTAGTTACAGCTCCACAAGATCTGGAAGACACAGTGGCTTTTCATCAGCTCAGTGCAGCTCTTTCAATAACACTGAAATGGAACAGCTTTACACAAAGAACACAATGACCTTGAATGCCACAACAAAATGTAAATTCTGAGAGAGGTGCCATTTTTTCCATATAAAGAGTGAAGGATTAGACTAGCTTTTAGGTAAAGCAATGAGGTTTGCTCTTCTATGCTGTCTTTTAATGATATCCAAAGATTCGAATTTATGTGTGATCTGCAATCTTCCAGATGCCTGGTACTCATGAATAGTTGCTAATGCACATCACATGTGATCAGCTGATTGCATTGCCCCTCTAGCATTACCTGGTTTCAGGAAGATAATTTAGCACTTTTGTCCTGAACCTAAATCTACTGCTTAGCTGCATCTCTAGGTGTAGAAGGCATGAACTGCACATAGAAGACATGAATTCTTCATGAAAAAGAATCGTGTAGCCAGCTGATGAGAAAATGTGCCAAAAGCAGGATGGATTCAAGCTGGTTACCTTCATTTGGAATTGCCCTCAGGTCGACGTGTTGGCTGGAATCATGATCAAGGAAGATCCAGTGGCAGGGACAGTTGTACCCTTGTTTGTTTAGTAAAGCCAAGTTCCTTGGTGGAACTTGTTTCCCACCACACCCATAGGTTTCATTCAGCTTCATAACATATGAATTGTCTAGGACTAGCTACAGTAGCTTCTCTCTTTCTACACAGCCCTAGGTGCTGAATATGTTTGTGCTAAACAGACAGACTCTTTCAGCATTTCTCTCCACGGAGCAACCTGTGCTCTCTCAATTAGCCCTAGTACAGTGTTGTTGAAGCATGGACTAAGATTACACCCTTCAATTAAAAAAAACCAAACAAGCAAACAAGAAACCAGGGACTTCAGCCATTTCACCCGCACATGCATTGAAGCTACTTGGGCACAAAGCACAGAAAACACTGCGTAAGTTATACCGTCATTGAGCCTTTCCTTAAAATCATTTCAGGCATGGAAGAAAAAATCTTAGCTTACGTGCTTGTCTTTGAACACTCTGGTGAGCAGGGCCTGCTTCTGGCAGAAACATGCCATGGCTTAGTGAGGCAGGAGTGCACAGGCATGTAGCTCCTGGCAGAGAATTTCACTTGGCTGCCAAAAGCAGCATAGGTGGGAACTTGCTTGCCCGACGCGCTCTCTGGCAGCACAGAACATTAACTGACACCCTGGTGCAGATCCAATTATCTGTCTGGGAGGCTGTCCAGCAACAGACACCAAAAAGACAGGTTCAAGGAACCTCATCAAGAATAATTACAAAACAGCTTGCCTTAAGGTGAAGTTTCTTCCTGTTTCCAGACAGTGAAAAGTTGGTGCTCAAGCACAAAAGACATTCATCTTTGAAATATACTCTTCCTAGCTATAGGCATGACTCTTCTGAGCTTTCTTACAAATGCCTAGCACTCTTAAGAAGGTCTGTCCACTGATCCCTATGCATTTAGTTTATTCATTATTCTTGTACACTGCCTGTTGCAGAAATCTTATGGAGTGAAGGTGGGCAGTAACTTCCCCCACTGCTTCCTTGGCAAAACTGCGAGACATTTTCAGCACTGTTTCTCACTCTTCTGGTGAAGGGCAGATACTAGGTGCCTAGATGAGCCCACTGCTTTCCCTCCTCATTTTCATGTCTACCTGTTAGGATTGCAGGACATCCCAAATGACTGTGGAAACAGAATATAGAATTTCTGTTTTCAGATGATTGAGAAAAGTAAGATCATGCTTTTGCCCTGACTGCCCTTCCTCCATGTTTGCACACTTAAAGAGTGACATGATGGCAAATGACACAAGTTGCATTGCAACTTGAGAACCTTTCCATCCCAAACTGTGTAAGAGAATAACTGCCTGAAAACTGGGAACACACTGGGAATAAAGAGAATGGAGACACTTCTTACAGAAAATAGTTATCTATTTGCACTCAAATGTGATGCCAAGCCTGCTCCTTGTGCAGTTCTAAGTCTCATTGTTAACACAACAGAATTCAGGCAAGGCTCCCATTTAATTTCCTATCACATGAAGAGAGCAAGAAAATGTTTTTCTGCATGTAAGTTTCTACTAGGCTGAAAAGAGGCCATAGAATTCTATCTAGATTGCTAATCTCTCCAGTAATCCTGACCACTCAAGGCATGGAAAAGAAAGGCTGCCTAGTTTCCCCAAATGGCACACAAACTTCTAGAATATGCTCATATATGAAGATGCATACATGCACTGTTGTCCTCTGGTGAATATATATGGAAGGTGCTAGAGACCACAGATTCCCCTCAACATCTTGTGCTCAATATGCTTTCTGAAGAGGACAACACTTGTTCTGTCTCAGATGCCGTGGGTGGAGCTGACAGTCAGTCAGCATACATGTGACTGGATGTGTGAGTATTACAAGTTTCCAGAAACCCCTTAAAAAGCACAGACTGAGATTTTCTGGGTTGGACTCTAGACGGATGTGATTTGGGTTTTTTTTTAATCTTCACACCCTCTTTGTACTGTCATGAATGTTTTATTCATGTTTCCTTTTATTGTTTTTGTATTGATTTTTTTATATCTTGAAAATGTGCTGCTGTTCTCTCTCTTCAGCTAAAAAAATTAAAATAATGTTACTCTAATGCTGCAGCAAAGAGTCTGAACTGCACTGGCTATTCCAGTGCAACTATTCTGGAGCACCTCCCATCATATTATTGGACTTTTCAACCACTCTTAAATGTGACTTCTTGGTCTTCAGTTGTTAGGTTGACTGGAGGAATCTTTAAATCCATACAGGAGTAGTAGGTGAAGAAGTTGTGATATACTTGACAGCTAGAGAAATACATGAGGTTCATGTCTAGTCCTCAGATGAGCACAGATCACAACAGTTGGGGCTGTTTCCTCTCTAGACACACAGAGGGTATCATAACTGGGGTCTTGTTTACCTTGGCCATTTCCCTTCCTATGTGTTGATGAGGTAGACAAGCATGTAGTTTATGAGTTTTCCTCTCAAGTTCAACTTCATGGGGATAGATAGACAGATACAGCCCCAAAGCTCTGCTCCTTGAAGCAGAGTTTCCCATAAACAGGTAATAGTCTGCCTGAAGGGATACATAAACTCTGCCATTCTGGTCACTCTCATGTGCCTTGGGATCAACATTGTTGAATCCAAGAACACTGTTAGCCCTTTTTTAAGGACTGAAATGACTTATGGGACTGCTACTATTCCCTGATCACTCTTGACAAAACCTTGGAAAGAGTTTCACCTCACTCATTCCAACTGTCTTTTTGAAGTTGACTACTGCATGTCTGCATTTTCTTAAAAAAAAAAAAAATCAAACTGTCCCTAATGGCTAGGGTGAGAAAAAGAGGAAGTATTTTTCAGCAGCAAAGAGTTTCAGATTTTTGTCATTCTGCTTTTCATTGTATGGGGTTCAGAAGAAAGCAAAACCCAAGACCTGGGTACTCAGGATTTCCATGTATCACAGGTTATGCCTTTCCTCACAAGAATGGGCTTGTGAGAACCAGAACCTATTTGTTTCCCCCTTCACTTGCAGGTCTTGCAGGATGGATTCTAGGTATCACTGTTTATTCTCTTGCAGTCCCATAAATAGAGATGGGACTGTTCCTCACGTCAGCACAAAAGATTAGCAATTCCCATCATGGAGCAGACCCAAGAACTGCACACGAAATAGCACTGAATTTCGATTCTTTACTCTGAACCTGAGTACCAGGTGACATCTGTTTTTGCTTACCACATGCTGTGCACTAGCTGGAACTTCAGTTCCGAACTGAGCTGGCACACCAAGTGATAGCCTGATGCTCATCTCCATCTGAGGAATAATCTTTCACACCGCAATGGCACTCTTCTGAAAAGAAAAAGCTAATTTTTTGTTGCCTTTATTATGTCTTTGCAGCTTTGCTGGGCTCTCAGCCATAAATAAAGCCTGCGGATGACTTTGTAAAGTTGTCAGATACCTTTAGTTGGCAGACAATAGGCAACAGGTGCTTGTGATCTGTCCAAGCCATTATTTCATCTCCACCCTGTGTTATTACAACCTTCCCTCCCCAAACCCATTCCCAATGTATGACATCAGCCACATGTAATTGTCACCAGTCATTCAGTTCTGCTTTCAAATCACGGCCAGGCTTGGTTTTTGTTCATGGAACAGGACACGTGGTGTGCACTCTCTGGGTGCATTAAGTCTTCAAGTAGCATACTGACATCTTTTCCTTACATTGAAAATCGCTCTGAATTCCCCCAGGACCTTTCCAGAGTTTGAGACTAGTGGAATGAGGATGATGTAAACATCACACTTCAACTGGTTCAAGTTGATTCAAATGGACTCGCATGAGCTGTATGCTGTTTAGAATCTTCTTCTGGTGACCAACGAGGGTGATTCCAATACGCTGGATATCCCTGCGTAAAGGAACAGAGGACACAGAAGTTGTTAAAATGAACTGCTTGTTCTGAACAGTCTCAGTCCATTTTGCTGTAGATGCAAATAAATGTGGATGGATATGTGCGTGTGTCTATCTGTGTCTGAGAAACAGCTGACGAGGTTTCTGCTTTTGCTTGAAAAATGCGTGTGGGTGGAGGGGTTGTTGGCAGAACTTGGTAGGTACAAAAGGAAGCAGTGAAACAGGGCCACAAAAAAGAATCAGAGGGCTGATCTCGTACAGAAAAAAAGAGAGCTGAAGTTGTTCAGTCAGAAGAGAAGGCTCCAGAAAGAACTTTCTCAATCAATATATAAAGGGGTCTTAAAAGAAAGATGGAGAATTACTTCTTACTAGGTGCTGTAGTGACAGGACAAGGGGCAGAGGTTTGAAACCGTTGAAAGAGAACAGGTTTAGACTGGAAATAAGGAAGGGTGGTGGGACACAGAAACAGGTTGCCAGGAGAAGTTGTGGATGTCTCATCCCTGTAAACATTCAAGGTCAGGTTTGACAGTGCTGTGAGTAACATCATCTATTTAAATGTGTCCCTGCTTATGGCAGGGGTGTTGGACTAGAGGATCTTTAAAAGTCCCTTCCAACCCAAACCATTCTGTGATTCCAAGAATGTTCGTCTTCCTGGATCCTCTTTTTTACATAACACTTCAACACAGTATATGGTGTGGCTGGTTCTACACATCTGCTTAAAAGTGGTTGTTATTATCAGTGCTAGCTGCCATGAACACTCTGATATAAACAGGCTCTCTGCAACACTGACAATACATTTTCTGATGCACATTGGATCAGAATTGCTACTTGCAGATACAGGTTACAAATGTGTCACAGCATGGGTGCCGTCCAGAGACCCTAGTAATATGCAAGCAACAGTAGCTACTTTGCTTTGGCTTCCCTCTCCTTTTCCATGTGTATGTATTTTCCATATAGCAAATTTCTCAGACTGCTTTCACTTTCTGCATGGAAAACTTAGTGTCTGGTATCTGCTGTTCCCTGCTCTGTTACTTACTCGAGAGTCATGCGTGATATGACATCAAACGTAGCCAGACCGGCCTGGTCAAAATTCTCCTTGTAGCGACCCATCTTGATAGCATCCAACCACTCGTGGGCATTGCTAAGGGAAGGGAAATCTGGAGGACAGTTGCTCAGAAGAGGCTGAGATGGTCTGCAAAAGAGGCAGGTTCTAAAACCCAAGTTATCAGCATCAGCTGAGCACACTAGTAAAATAAGAATTATGAGAGGGAGATAATGCAGCTTCCAAAGAGGACAGAATGAAGAACAATAATATTTTTTCTTCATGCCCTGGCTCCTGAAGTCCCACCTTGATGTGCTGTTTTTAGACTTCCAGTGTCCCTTTTTCTGCCTGAAAACAATCAACCAACCCAAGAAATTGATTCTCCCTTCCCATTGCCTTTATTTTCTCAGACACATTCTCTTCTTCTTGCCCAAGATCCTTCCACATTTTCTTGGTCTAGACCTATTAGCTGGGCAATGAACTGCAGTGAGGAGGTTTCTGAAAGAGACCTTATATACCTTTTTACCTTTGTGACTAGGTTTCTCTCTCCTAAATGTTCTCTTTTGGTCAGATAGTGACCTATGACACAATGAGTGCATTATTTCAGCTCCAACACCCATCAGATAAAAGACTTGCACTAAAAGGCTGAAGAGATTACTGTTTACATATGGTATTTGCTCTTTTCCTCATCATCTGAACTTGTCCCAGAGCTTTAACACTCTTTAGGTGCTGCTTTTAGTAAACTGGGCATCACTAGATACTTTTCCCCTTCCCCAGCTGTGGAGTGCATTCCACTCATACAAGATTTATAACCACAGGGAAAACCCCTCCAGGCCAGCAGGATGTAATTTCGTCATCAGCCCAGCAGCCAACTAACCTTGGCACCATTTATCCCTCCAGAGGCTTCTTCTTTGCTGACCTCCTGCCTCGTGTTCCATCAGACCGCAAAATGCAGTTGGGAAAATATGGGATGTAAGCTGCAGTTCTAATTATTCCCACGTAGAGACTTCCTTCCCTCCATAGGCTAAGGTCTTCTTTTTCTTCATCATCTCTTGTGCTCACATAATATGGTGTGATCACAGAATATCTCATGCTGCTGCACCCAGATGTGTCCCTCCCTTCATTCCCTATGATCCCTCAGTCACTCAATCTCAGTGCAACTCATCGAGATTTTTCTCCTTGTCATATTCAGCACTCAGAGCTCCCCGTTAACTGAATCAGGATATACACTTCTTCCAACCTGCTTCCTCTCTTTTTTTCCACTTCCTGTTTGTTCCCAATCTCAAATGACCGGGTTAGGAAAAAAACGATATAGCCTGATTTCTGGCTTTCCTTTCCTCATGATGCCTACTGAGAGACAAGTCCTGTTATTTTGCATTAAATCTCCATCTCACCTGCTGGTCCCAGTGCCAACGGCTTTGAGGGCCGATGGCTTGCGAATCATTTTATCCAGGGCACTGACTATTTGCTCAAATTTGGGTCTCTGGACCCTCTCCTTCTGCCAGCAGTCAAGCATCAGCAGGTGCAAAACAGTTGGACAGTCTGGAGGTGGTGGCAAGCGATAGTCCTGGTCAATGGCATTAATTACCTGCAGGAAAAGAAGAACAAAGCTTTATCACAACTGGGAAAATAAAAAACAAAAGAGCTTCAATCATTCGGTGTGTGTGGCTTTCTTCTGCTTGAACTGATACAGGACAGGCAGGCAGAAGTAAATCCTCACCACTTCCAAAACTTACATCCTGATTGGACATGTCCCAGTAAGGCCTCTCACCGTAGGACATCACCTCCCACATGACAATGCCATAGCTCCAGACATCACTGGAGGAGGTGAACTTGCGGTACTGGATGGCTTCAGGGGCAGTCCAGCGGATGGGGATTTTGCAGCCCTGGCAAGCAGACAGAAAGCAACCAGAATGTATCGAGATAAGGACTGCTTGTGAAAAAAACATCACTGAAACAATCAGATGTTAGCAGCACAACACAGCCTGGAGCACGGAGTGACAGCTCCATTGATTTGGTCTTGGAAACATTGCTGGTTTTAATTCATACTATGTTCAAGGTTTCCACCTTGTTTTGCTGACAAGTATAAATGAAAAGAGAGAATCATGTCTCCATGATGCTACAAATCCCATGATTTTATACTTTCACAGCTTTACTTCGCAGCATTTGAAAGTGGCATATAGCAGAATCCTCCTGAGTCACAATCATTTGGAAATCTAAAACCATTTAAATAATGCCAAACTGCAGCACTTAGGGACAGATACACTGAGTAGCTATCATTAACTCATTTCCCTTTCCATCTTGACCTCTCTAACTGCAGGTATGACCTGTAAGATTAAATACCATTCAGGTGCTGGTTCTTCAAAATGCACAGATCTAAAAATTGTTCCACTTTTCAGTGACTGAATTCTTCATCCCCTTCTTTTTCAATCCACCTGCTATACTCCCACACTTTTTGTAGTATGTGTGACAGGTGTCACAACTTCATAGGCAATAAGCTCATTTGATGGTTGGTTGTAAGCCCATAAATACACTTAGGTCATTTATCTTTTCTGTAGGAAAAAGCCCAACTCTTTCTTCAAAGAGCGGCAGTACCGGATTGTAATCTCTCCTTCGGTCCTTTATCCTTCCTATAAAAAGCTAATGAAAGGGGGAAGATAATAGCTACATCAGGCTGTGAGGTTTGACCTGTTCACCATCAGGCCACAAAGAACAGCACCGAGACTTCACATGGCAGAGTGGCTCAGGTACTCAGTTATTTTTCATTTTTACTGCTTTAGAACAAATAGCCCACAAGACAGAAGGCTCTACTCCATGCTTCTCTATGGTCTTAAGACGGAATTAAGAGGGTACACCAAACCAAGGAGGAACACAGGAAAAATTCTGTCAGCACCACACAACTCCCACCACAGCAGTGACTCACCAGACCCCCCGTGTAGGTGGGATTGGAAGCATCATCCTCCAGGAAGCGGGACAACCCAAAGTCTGACACCTTACACACCAGGTTACTGTTGACCAGGATGTTTCGTGCTGCCAGGTCACGATGCACGTAGTTCATGTCTGACAGGTAGCGCATGCCGGCTGCAATCCCCCGCAGCATTCCCACCAGCTGCAGCACACTGAACTGCCCTTCCTTCTGCTGCAAGGCACGAGGCAAACACAGGCTCTCATGGCCACACAACATCAAGCCAACAGGGGAGAGCAACAAAGAGCAAGGTAACAATGTGGATGTATGAAATTAGAGAACACGCAATCTTAATTTCAGCCCAAATCTGCAGGTTCAAGGACAACACATAACAAAGGAGGGTGGGCTTAAAGCAATGAACCTCAAATAAAATCAGACATTGGTGAATGAACTTTTCCTGAAGACAAACCTCCTCTTTGGGCCACATCCCCCTTTAGCATCCTACACCTAACCTCACTAAGATGGCTAAATCAATGTGTGCAGACAAATCTGCTTGTACTAAGATCTTCACAATGGCCTCTATGCAGCTCTACTCAATGTGCTATTCAAATGGTACCTGCCAAAGCATTTCTGGCTGAATGAACACATGAATCAATAAAAAGGAGAACTGAAGCAGCTATACTACATAGATTGTCCACATTTGTGCTTCATTACTAGAAAACTTGAAATCCAAAAATAACTGCAAGTTTCATTACTTCATCACAATGTTAAAACTAGAAAATATTCTGTGAAATAAAGTCTGAAAAATGTTATTACAAAGGAAAAATTTGGAACATGTACATAAGCAACTGAAAGGGTGTGTACAAAGATTTGGCACTGTTTACATTAATTACTGAAGAAGTCTGAAATACTGAAATTTTATATGCTTGTTGAGCCCTTGGAGTATTTTCACCATGTTGTCCTGAAAGCACTTACTGTGGCTATTTGCTATAATTTCTATTGCACCTGAAGAGGGCAACTGAGGACTTAGGGAGACAGGGGTGAAGAAGAAGGACAGGCAAAATTATCGGGTCTGAGACTGGCACACAGCAAGATGAAGAGGTTAGTGGTTGTGGGAGACTCTGTGGTACCCTGAGAAAGGAATCCAGTGATCCGTTCTCCATGAACTCTGTGACAATCATGACTGGTCGGCTCTTGGTGACCACCCCCTCCAGGTGGATGACATTGGGATGCTCAAACTGCCCCATGATGCTGGCCTCGCTCAGGAACTCCCGCCGCTGCTCCTCTGTGTAACCTGACTTCAAGGTCTTAATAGCTACCATGTATTCACGCTTCCCTGGGTGTTTCAGGCGCCCAAAGCACACCTCTCCAAACTCTCCTGTCAGGGAGGGAAGAAACACACCTCAAGTAAGGAAACACAGCAATGGATTTTATTCAGATGTACTAAAGCATTCTACTATGGATGACTTTGGGCAATGCATACAAATGAGGTTATGGGGCTCTTTAGATTAAGGCAAAATTTTTGGTGAAGGTTGGAGACTACTGCATCTTTGGTGTTCAAATGAGGAGTTTTGAGTCTTCAAAGGGTGTTTTAAATTTGGCTTTGAGCCAGCATCTAAGAGTTAGTAGGTTAAAATGAATTTTGGTAAAAATGAAGATTTAGATATCCTGAGACACTTGATGTACCACGGATCCATGGGTCCACTTCAGGCCAGTACTGTGCCAGGACTCAAGGTGAACAAGAAGGCACTTCAAACACTCTGCAGATTCTCACACTACCTGATCCAATGACCTCCTCAATCTTGATGAGGGACACATCAATCTCCTTGGCAAATTCTCGAATGGCTTCATTGGGATCTTCGTAGGTTGAAGGATCAATGTAGTACTTCACTCCAAGTCCTGCAGTGGGGGAAACAGCCCAAAACATCACCAGGATCAAACCCTGAGACACACAGGTATTAATGAGTCCTAAAAGGAGACAGGCCCTTGCCATCTGTTGCTCACACTTACCTCGTGCACCGATGTACTGCTGCAGGCGGTCTGTGTATGGGGTCTCTCGCCTTTTACTGCAGGACACAAAGGAAAGGAAAGTCAAAACACACACAAGAGTCTCTCATCAGATGCTGGGGTAGGCTTCTCAGTGCAAGGCTCAGAGAATCCTTCACATTAGGGGTAGAAGATGGATGTTAAGATCCTGCCCATCTCCTGGTAACCAGTGCATGCTTGTTTTCTATGTGGTGGCTTTTACACCACTGTTGCACCCCCACATTAGAAATGACAAATGATAGGGCTTTCAACACTATCCTGAAAAAGAATATTACAGTTTAACTTTACTGCCTTGGAAGTTTTATTGCTATTCAGGCTAAATTTGCATTTTAATTTAATTTAATTACAACAAATTATTCTTCTCAATTATAATGTATGCCTTCTTCTGTGATGCCTTTTAAGTTCTTCAAAAACATTCTAAGAGCCATTTACTCTATGTATAGATCTCCCCCAATTATTTTTCCTCCTGGCTTTGTTTAACAGCATTTACTTTGGCCATTCTATTCATAAGTATGGTACCCAAACAAACCACACAGACCCAAACAGATGGAAATCTGTTCCTTGATGTGACTTTTGCATGTGCAGGTCAAAACAGGTATGGTCTTTATTATTGTAGGTTTATTGCATATATGCATCTAATTTCCAGTAAGCACAGATCCTTCTCAGCACAGGCATTTCTCAGATTTCATTTTCCTTCTGAATGTGTATGATTCAATCATTTATTTCCCACAAAAATCTAATTATTTTACAAGTTTCATTCTATTCTTTGTTTGCACTAAATCTATTTGCCAGTTTCAAGCTACTTCCTTTGTTCCAAGCAGTTCTCATTAAAAAAAAAAAAAAAAGTACGTTTCATGCTAGTTTCCAATCATCCTATTAATTAGACCAGACTGCAAATCAAACTCTACAGTATCCTGCAGTATCCCTGCTGTCTGCATGGATTTGTGTCAACTCATGTTTTGCTGTTTCAGCATGAGACCTTTTAGCTGCTGATTCAATTAGCATTTGAAGGCAAAGTATCATGAAACATTATGTTACTTTTCTTTATGAACATAAGTAATTCTGACATTCTAACAGCTAACTGTATTATTCTTACTTGTCAGACTTATCTCTTTAAATTCTGCTTTCAAATCCACAGACAGTTTTAACGTCAAAATTTTTTCTCTTGTGCAAAGAAATCAGCTTTGCTGGGAGCCTATACCTAAGAGCTCTAATTATGCTGTTGAACCTGAAAGTCAGGTCTACAATAATGTTTTTTATAGATTATCTAACAAAATAATTGTTTTCCATATAAAAAGACAACAAAGCAATTAGCTAAAATAGATGTTTCACAGTGCATATTGCCTGAAAAATGTGTACCAACAATTTACAAAAACAAGTTAAAGTCTTAGCATTTGACTCTACATATGTTCAACCTTTTAAGGAACTACTCATTTCATCTGGTGTTCCTCATTTTCTGCATCTTCAAACTTTTCTTATCAAGGACAAATTTAAAATAGAAATTTGGTATCTCCCCTTTTTCTGAAAAGCTGTCTATTAACTGTACATAATTTTTTAAGTATAAATGAATGTATTTTTTATGATGTTTCCTCATATGTATATTTACAAGTGCCATTAATGTCTTTCCCCAACACAGTTTTGGTAATATTAACTGATTCTGGGTTTGGTTTATTTTTTTAGAAAAATATATGCTTTATTGAGTTGTGCACATAATATCACATTTCCAGCTAGAACAAAAAATTGTATTTTTAACAGTTCAAAGCAACAAAAGGAGGCAACATTTAAAATATAACAATAAGTGATAATTCTTTTCTTTCCAGAAAGAAAAATATTAAAAGAGAATATACAAAAGAGAAGAAAACAAATCTAGAAAAGGGAAGAGAACAAAAAAGAAATCACTAAAACTAGACGTCACTTTCTAAAGTTAAGTAGTTTATACATTTTTTTTTTAGGTCAGCAGAAAAAGCTAAAAAGTCCCTCTTGTGCAGAGGCACAGTAGAGCAGAGACACAGAAATCCATTACTGACAATCTAGGGGATTAAGTTCAAACCACAGTAAATTCAAGGAGCGGGTAATGACTGTTTCTTTTCTCCAAATAACAAAACCCCCATTGTTTACTTTTGTACCTCTATAAAAATAGCAACCCTCACCTTTTTCTCTTTAAAATTTCTGTCCTTTTTCTTTTTTTTTTTCTGTAACAGATTATCTCGACAATCTTTTATATGCCCTTTATTCTTTTCAAAATGGAAAGTGGTATTTGCTTTCTTTAACCTGTATTTTATGAGCTAGTGTTCCATGGAACCATTGGGGTTGAATAGATTTTATTCTTCAGCAAATGAGCCCTTGTGTTTTGGTCCTTGGTGAAAGGGTATTTATCACCTTCTAAATAATTGGATATGCATACTTATTCCACCAGTCCTTCTCCACTACATTGTTTCATTCTACACTTGCTTGCCTAAATTGCAATTTACAGTCCCTCCTTCCCAGCGATGCATTTAAGTACCTTCTGAGTAACAGCTTTGAAATGCTTTCCTTGTGTTCATATTGCTAACTAGCCAAATATCAGCTAAGTACATGAGTGGTTTACCAAAGGAGAGGCTCCTCAGATAGGAGTAATGGGGCAGGATCTTTCCTTAATTAGAGAATGGCATCTCAAGGGCATCTGGATAAATGCAGATCAGGCTGTTTCCCTTGGGACGGGGTTATGTTGCAGGGATAAGGAAGTTCCACTGTCTGAAGTGCACATGAGCAGGTCAAGGAATTCACCTCTTGAAGATGATGGCAAGGATGGCAATGGCAGCAATTACCAAGAAGGCCAGACCCCCGAGCGCTGAGCCCACGATCAGCGGCAGTCGGTCCTGCACCATCTCTGAGCGCTCCCCTGCCAAGGAAGACACACACACATGGATGCAGAGGACAGGAACTGTGCAGCTTCCCTTCTGCTCACAGAGATCTCTCCCATAATTCCAGCCCTACCAGCCGTTGCTCCCCAGTCACTGTGGTTCTCCAGCACCTTCTTTCCTACATCTGAAAAGCCAGTGTTCCCTCTAAATCCACTTCCTCTCTCTTCCCTGGTCCACTGACAGCTGACAAGCCACTAAAGAACAGGTTAGCTCTACACCTGGGCTGTATCCCACTGTCCCCTATTAATGTAGCTTGCCAATACCTTTGATCCATACCAAAAGGATGGTGATCCTGCTGGAAGGCAAGCTCCCGCACATATACCTGTGTCCAATCTACCTTTGTGTCCTCTGTCCCACCTGTCTTTTAGACATTCTCAGAGTTTTCAGCTGTAAGATGTCCCCATGACAGCTGAGGGCCAAACTACAGCAGTATATAGTGCTATGTACTGCCACATCTCCCTAAAGAGATTTTTACTGGCACACTGCTCCTGCTGGTGAGAAGCACAGAGGCAACAAAGAGCAGGGCTGGGGAGTATGGCAGTAGCATAAACAATACCCTCTGACAACATGAAGCTTCTCTAAGTGAACAAATCTACATATCCAAATTATTATAAACAGAAATACAAGTTGAGTAGGAGTGTCTGGTAGCAGTCCTCCAGGGGATAAGCCAATACACTCCAGGGACACAGGCAAGTGGAAGGTGATCATGTGCAGACCTGAAATGGCACAAAAAGGCAGCACTTACCTCCTGTTAAAGTCTGGAAATACATCTTCCCACTGTAAGAGCCGTAGCCGACTGCTGTCCTAGCGCGCACTTGGAAGGCATAGATCTTCCCTGGGCTCAGACTTGATATCGTGGCCATGTTGGTCTCACTAGTTAAGGTCAAGGAATTATCCTCATCTTCTGCCTGTGAATGTCAATGACCAAAAAGGAATGTGAAACTTCTGCCTACACTGCTCACTCTCCTCATCAAGGCATGACAGTTTCCATGTCAACCCAATATTCTTTGAACCTTTACAGAGCCTCCCAACAACAGCTGCTATTCCAGACCTTACTTCCTCTCACACTACTCATTCCTCACTGCTGCTTTTCATTCCCCCAGGCCTGGGCTTCCCACAAAGCTCTGCTAAAGACTCTCAATCTAAACAAAAATGAAAGACAAAACTTTGTCCCATGGTTCACTTTCTATAAACTCCAAACTCGTGTACTCTCCCAGGAGAATTCAGAGCAAGAACACATGTAAAGCTGTATCCCGGAAGCTGCTAGACACGTTATCACAAATAGCAGTTCTTTTTGCCACTAAAAAATAGTAGCCCTGCAAAATCGTGCAGAAGTATTTCTTTGAAAGACTAGTAATATGGAATGGGAGTTTGTCGGAACAGCCCCACATATCTCTTCCCCTCAAGTCAGATGGATTAGGAGTCACAAGACATGAGAATGGAGGATAAATTTGTATTTGCCACCCTGTAATTCCAGCACACAAAGAGGTATTTGCCACTTAGCGAATGAAAGAGGGCATTTCTTCTCATAAAATTTCTTAGAGATGTCTGTCCAGGCATAAATGAGGACACAGGACTTCTCTTCATAAATGAATGACAGATTTGCAGTGAATTCAATTCCAGAAAATATATTTAGAAACTTCAGCTCCTTCCACTGTTATCAGTGTCAGCTGATACTAAACTTAACGTTAGCTGCAGCTTTTAAGCTTAAACAAGCACCTTCTTTTTTCTTAAAATCTGTCTTGTCCCTAGATGTTTCCAAGACTGGGAAATGCAGATGGACTGATGCCAGAAGACATGTATATCACAAACTTCTGGTATTGCTAAAGTTTGTTCCTTCCTCATAACTGAAACTTTTTTTTTCCCACCTTGTTCATTCTGATGCAGGGGTGCATCACCCAGACAGAAAGTGCTCAGTGTTCCTTTTTGCTCACCTTGTCAAAGTAGCGTAGCTGGTAATCCAGGATGACCCCATTGGGCTGGTCTGGCTGAGGCCACGACAGTGTGATGCTGTTGGTAGTACGACTCACCTGATGCATCATAGGCACAGCAGAGGGGACTGGAACAAAAGACAAAATGGAGAGATTGCAAAGGGATAAGCTTAAAAATGAACTGTATTTGAACAGTCCTTAGGATGAGTTATTAAGTTAGGCCAGCTCTTCCCTTAATTTTCCTTAATTTGCATTATGAAATACTTTGTAAAATAACCAGAAGAAATCCAGGCACAATATTACTCCGCTGGGGGATACAGTCATTGGCAACTCAGACTGAAAGAAAGTGAAGAAATCCACATCCAACTGATTATGCAGCACAGGAGTTAAGAAATTATCTATATATTAGCTGGAATATAATTCTGATCTTCAAATGTGCAATTTTTATGTGAAAGATGAGAAGGTGCTCCATGCCACTGCCTTAAGATCACGCCTGGACAAAGAATACAACAGTGGTCAAAACAAATGCAGAGCACATTACTTCTCTTCTGCTCCTCCCCCAGACTGTAATTATTTTCCTGGGGGAAAAAAATCAAGTATAGGCTACCAGAGTAATGGAGGCCTTGTATATGAAACATGCACATATACATGTTTCATATACATAAATGGGAAATCTAAAGAATGGAAATCCACTTCTACCAAAACCATCCATGAACCCATCTGCACACACATGCACACTCTCTAGGTTCATACAAAAGCTAAGAGTGTATGAGTTTCATCTTGGGAAGAGATTTCCAAGCAAAAATTTCAGGACAATTTCAGATGATCCACCTGTTTTTCCACAAAGCTCTTCTCAAGTTTTGCTTTCTCTCTGCAAAGAAAATGTCACGCTGCCAAGAAACCTACAGGTAAGCAGCCTGGATATCCTCATTTTCCTAATGGATGCAACATTTTCAGCAACATTTAAATTTTCCAGAAAAAGCATGCCAATGAAAAGTTGCCACCAAATCCCACTGGTTTTAGAAAATAGACATAAACTTCCTTGATGTGAAGAATGAAGCAGAGACATTTGGCAAATGATCAAAACCTGCAGAATAGCATTTTCTTCCCTCATTAATTGTGAAAAAGATAAAAAGATTGTTTTTAATAACAAGATAAAATTATTCTGAAAAGCATATTTCAGATGGGCTTCAAACAGCTCAGGCAAGTGGGAACTAAGTTAAAAATGTAAATGAAACAAAATAAGAGTCTAAGCAATAAAATACTTTCACTCCTTGTTACTCCTTTTACTTTTTACCATTGCTCGTCCTTCAAACAAGATTACACAACAACCTCACCTGCCAATGGGAATGTTGTGACAAGAATGGAAGAGAGCGACAATTAACCAAGACCGTATGTAGCATTTAAAATGCAAATGAATAACACTGTATTGAAATGTCAGGAGGTAACTGGTCACCTAACATCTGACCAAGATAGATTCTGCTACATTTAATGTTCCAAAAGTTTAACTCTCTTCCACTGAGACACAAAGCAAACACACAGGAGAGGTGCAAACCTAAATGCAGAGCTACATTGCCAGGGAACAGTCTACTTCCTTCTACGATTTTACAGAATGATCAGAATTAAATCTCCCCACAATTCCTCTCCTGCCCAGCTCTAAAAGTTATTCTTCTCTTGCTTCTCATTTCTCCCCGATCCCCAATTTTTCCCCTACCTGGAAGAATTAATCAACAAAGAAATAACAAAAACATCACTCAAGTGTATGTCTTGGCCATGTGTCACAGCATTCTAGAAAGCTCCTATTATCCAGATATGTCCATCACTTAGGGTAATCAGATGGTGGCAGGGGGGAGGCAACCAGGATACTGCAGTCTATTGTATTAAAAACAGTAATTTTAGTGATTTGCACCTAATAAGCAGACACTACTTAGAGCAAAAGCCATTAAAAACACTCAGAAATAAAATCAGCTATGAATCACTGCAAGGCAGATTGTCTTTAATCTGTCTCTCTGAGACATAGTTTAGATTTTGATACATGTGTGCCTGTCTTTTAAGGACCTAAAAAATTATGAAACGCTGACCAGGGAGCTCTTCCATCACTTGAATGAAAAGAGATAGCAAGATTTCTCTTTTGAAAGCTTCCTACTAAGATGGTTTGAATATCAATGCTAAGGTGATGTGCAAGGCAAACATAATTGTTGGTGGAGTAAGTACATATTTCCTGTCAGAGGTTATTCTCTGAGTGTTAATACATTAGGAAATATAAAGTTCAAGATTTTATGTCTATAGACATTCAAAATTCCACAGAAGTGCTAGGTGAGTATCTTCCCTTGTTTCCATGACAACTTTTAAAAATGTTTATAACAGTACTTTGCTTTCAAAACTTTCTTTTGTATACACAAATGTGTCCAGGTCTATATTGATTTGTCAGTTTTATTCTTTGCTTTTTACATGAGGTTTACAGACATAGACATGTTAGGTCCCTGTCTAATGGCAGCTGAAATCACAGTGTCTGATTCAATCCAATCTGGACAGTTGGACTAGATGACCACTACAGGTTCATTTCCAACGATTCTATTCTATTCTATTCTATTCTATTCTATTCTATTCTATTCTATTCTAAGCAAAAATATGCTATGAGATCAGATCTTTAATTAAGACTGAAAAAGCAGTTCTCATTGTATGCAATTTAAATAATAGCAAATGTATGGAAAATTCTTGCCCACATAAACCCAGCTAAGCTGCAAAGAAATCCAAACACCTGTTAAGTACAACTCCCAGTTTCTATATTTTGTGGGCTGTCAGTTGCAGGACAAATTTTTTCCTGGCAGCAGACATGTGCCTGCAAGACTAAAAATCTATCTCAATCAACAGACAGGTAAGTTAGGAATGTGAAGGAAGTGCAGACTCATCTAACAACACATGACAATCCCCACTTCTGCAGAGAACAGCCAAGTGCCATTCTCAGCAGACCATGAGCATTTCTGGCATGTGACATTCAGCCCATATTACACTCCATGAAGATACTTAGAGCCAATGTGACCCCTTTGTGGTTCTGCCTGGAGGAGTCCCATGGGATAATGCCCTGGAGGGAAGAGTGGCTCAAAAAAGATAGTTCATGTGCAAGGATTACCTCTTCCAGGTGCAAAAGCACTTCATCCCAACAAGCACAAATTCAGGCAAAAAATGCCAACAGGCCTGCATGTTTGAACAAGGAGCTCCTACTTAAACTCAGACACAGAAAGGAAGTACACGGAGGGTGGAAGCACAGACAGGTAGCCTGAGAGGAACATAGAGGCACTGTCCAAACATGGAGACACATGGCTAGGAAAGCCAGAGCCCACCTGGAATCACATCTGGCTCTCTATGTCAAAAGCAAGAAGGGTTTCTCTTTAAGTACAGAGCTGGTTGTAGAAAGAGGGAAAATGTGGGGCCAGCTGCTGGGTGGTGCAGGGTCCTGGTGATCAGTCTTTATAAGCAAGTCTTGCCTTTAGGAACACCAGGTTGTGCAGACCTTGGGGAAGTCTGCAGCTGGGAAGATCTTCCTCATGCCAGATCAGGTGACTGAATATTTAGGCAAACTACTGCATTCCATGGTCCCTGATGGGATGCATCCTTTGGACTGATGTTATTTCGAGAGCACTCTTGATAACCTTAGAATCATCCTTGTGACTGTGAGAGGTGCCTGAGGCCTAGTGGAAAACAAATGTCACTCCTCTCCTCTATAAGGGAAGGACAGAGGATACAGGGACATGCAGGCAGCTAAGCCCCACCTTCATCCAAAGGAGTTGTTGAGTCTCCAACCTTGGTAATATTCAAAGGTGTTCTGGGTGTGGTCAGGGGAATTTGCTTGAGGTGACCCTGATGAGCAGACAGGTTGGAGAGTATGTTCTCCAGAGGTATCTTCCACACGTAGCCATTTTCTGATTCTGAGGAGTCCCTCATTTAGCAGTACTGACTGGATGCCCGTGGAGTACAAGAGGAGATCAGACACCTGGCTCATGGGTCATCACTCCACCAGCATTCAAACTAAATCCTGCCAAGACCTGTGTGTTACATCTGTGTTATTTATGTGTTTTCTTCCCCTTCCATCTTGTCCCACAATCTTCTGAAGTTATATGGTTTGATCAACCTCAGTTGGCCTCTAATGTTCACTAACATGTCTCTACAGTCTCTTACGGATATTTCACTTTTGTTACTTCTTCAGGTATCCTATTCTCCTCATATTCCAAGCAGATGACATGAAGCCCCTAGCTTTGTTTACAGCTTTGTCCAGTTTCCCAAACATCATCTTCTAGGAAGATCAGTCTGAATGCAGCATGGAAATTCCCTTCTTGATGTGTTTATTATCTTATCCTTATTTTGAAAATGCCCTACATTTTTCCACACATTTCAATTTAGTTCTGGCCCTTTCTCTAAATACCCAAAATCCTTTAAAAGTATCTTGGATTGTCTTCTGTCATAACCTTGTACTTTTGCTCCCTATGGATGAAGAGTGCTTTAAAAGGGCAAATTAGTCAGTTATTTTAACTTCCCTTCCCTCTCTTATTATTAGTTTTTGTATATGCATTCCATTCATGCTTAATAAAAAGGAAAATAGCCTTTATGACACAAGGTGCCATGTTTTACTTTGTATTTTATACTTACACTTGCTCAAAAGATTTCTGACTTCATTTGAACAGTAAGTGAAACCTGAATTTTGAAAACAAGCCCTTTTGTTCTCATGCTGCAGAGACTGAGCATAGTAAAGGGAGAAACTGGAATAGTTCCTTTTTGTGGAGTGACCATAGAAACCATTAATAATTCCCAGTCATAGCTGGGCAAATCTATTAAAGATGGGTAAATTGACAAATGTCACTAATGTCACTAAGGGAAAAATTAAAACTTAAAAGAGTAATTTTGCTGTTCCTATCTGAACAAAAACCAAAAAAGTTAAATTCCTTGGGAACTTTGGAGAGTGCTCCAGGTTGGCAATTAGATCATAAATAAGCAGACAGCTAAGGACTTTGAAAAACAATGTCTTTCATTCAGAGGACAATGAACACTCACACTCCACTTGCTGTACCTGCTGGCTTCATCTTGGCAAAACACAACAGCATGTAGCTTTTGACAGCTCTCTTCTTATTTCTCTCTCATTTTGAACTAGAAAATGCCTTGCCTTTGTCCCTGATTTTGCCAACTAAGTCTACGGTACTCTTTTGGCTCTCTTTGGAAAAGCAAACATCTTCAAGCAATTCATCATTTCCCTTCACAATCTCATAATCATACTTGGCATTTAATTCCTTTCCCCTTCCCACACCATTTCATGTGAACATCTTCTGTCATGTCCTCTTAAACTTCCTGGCACTACCCAAAAGTGTCCTTGTCCCCATTCATCCTCTTACACAAGCCTTCAGACTGTCTAGCACTCATTTCTGCAGCGCTACAGATTTTTGGTATAGCCAGGTCCCACTGCTCTGATTTCCACTGATGCAGAAGGCTGCTACATATATTTTCACAGGTACAAGGCAACCTGGTCAAATAACCTTTCTACTCATACCTCTACTAGCTCTCAGAATGTGTGGACTCAGCTAAAACCCCAATACACTTGCTTTTAAAGGTCTGCATTGATTTGTTCCAACATTTAAATCTCTGCTGCCTTTCTTTTTTTCCTCTTCTTTCTAGGAATGTAAGAACTGCCTGAACGAATAAGTCCAGTAGCATTTCTCTGGCAACAGACATTACTACATGCTTCAGTGAAATTTGCAGGGAAAAAGTGGTAGTTACAGGTAGTTACAGCTGTGTATAGAATAAGTTTTTTCACAGTCCTTTAAATGAAAACCTGACTTCTGTCCTTAGACATGAGAAGAGATATTTGTTTACCCTGATAAGTACACTTGAAAATGTTAAAATACTGAATAAAAGATTAGTCTGTTTTATTTTTTGTGATAATATGGTAGGAGTTTAAGTTCTTTGCATTTTTGTGTGTCAGGTTCACACCTGTGATAAAGTATAACTTCATTAGAATTACATAATTGCCTTTCATCATGTGGTTCCTGCTATCTGGAAAAGCCTTCCAACATCTCTCTATACTTCCTGACATTTATTTAGGTATTCACCCTCAGCACTTCAAACCTGAGCTGAAAGCAATTCCCTTCTCTTGTCTCATCTCTGCACAGTTCTTCCGGTGATTAGCATATCATATTTGCATTTCACACTATTACTATCCAAACAGGTTTCACTACTGCTATCCAAACAGCTCTCATGTTTCAGGTTAAGTCTTACAGTAAAGGAGGTTTTTCACTGACAGTCCTTCTAATTCTGATTTCAGGCACATGGTCACTGAAGAGTAGGAACATCATAATCAGTCTGCACAGAAAAAATGTCATTCTGTAACCAAGGGATCCTATCACGCTCTGAAGAAAGGCCAGAAGACCGTGAGGGGTACGCAAACTCTTAGAGGAACAGTGTTTTGGAGACAAAGTTGAAGAGTGAATAGGTATCATGGGAAGAAGAAAAAGTAGCATTGCTTCCACACAGAACATTGCCTAAGATACCTCTAAAAAAGGGGCAGGAGTATTTTTTGGACCAGCAATTTTCAAGAAGAGAGAGAACTCAGACTGATGTATGAGTAAGCAAAATCTTCAGAAACAGGACTGGAGGGTCTTTTTTTGGGTCATCTTTGATTCAGTGGAGAGAAAAAATTTTGCTATGGCCCTTTATCCTGACACTGTACCTTTTTCTTTTTGCTCCTTGATTTTTTTTTGGTACCCTTCATGTTTTCCTGTACCCTTTTTCTCTCAGCATGTAAAATCCTCAAAGTTCTATCTCTACTTGTATAATAATAATAACAGAAATAATAATAATTGTTACAATAACACAACATCAACAAGCAATGATAAAGTGAAAAGCTGCTGAAGGGATCAAAAGGAGGGGGTATGGATGAGACAGGCCACGTGATGGAGGAAGCAGGGCCTTGTTAGTATGAGCTGTCAATACAAATCGAGGGCAGCTCATCTCAAGCTCACTCCTAACGATCTCAAGGAAAAGCAAGGAAAGAAAAAACTGTGACCCAACACAAAAAGAAGCCACTCAGTACACACTGATGTTTAAGGAAGCTGTTCTCCCCTGAAACAGCTTCACTGCACAAGAGAGGCATCTTAGAGACGAGTACCCAACATACTCAAGACACCCAGACACTGTAAGACACTGTGAGACACTTGGAAGAGGAGTGGTCAGAAAAATCAAACAGAAACAGAAGAAGAGGGTAGACTGGGTGATTCCGGGAAGGAGGAGGAAGTAGCTGCTCAATTAAGTTATCTCTGATATAGATAAAGGAGGCTGAGATGAGAAACATGAAGAAAGAGAATTCTGTAGGACGTTAATAGAACACCCACCTTTCTCCAGGAGAAGCCAAAGGAACTGCCTGGAATTACCATACAAATTACCCAGCCACATTTTACTGTAAACAAAAACTGATCACCCACTTGCAGCCAGCCTCTTAAGGGGACCAGAGATCCTAGAGGTGCTTTGCTACTTGATGTCTGTCAGGTAACATTTCAAAGGGAACAAATAGATCAACCCTCTGGCATCTATTAACAGCAGGAAATTAGTTGGGGGGTATATATACATTCCCTTTCTTTCCATATAATAGAAACAGAAATGAAAAGACGTGATTTAACTAAGCCCATGATGCTACATCTGGTTTCACAGCACTTCTCTGGAGCTTTGCCAAAACCTTGTTTTGCAGGGGTTTCCACACTACACTCTGGAATCTCATATGGGACTTGTTTCAGTTTAACATTTACACAACTCTAAATGTTTGCAGACATTTTCTGTCACTCAGTTCAAAATGTTCCCCCTCCTTCCCCTCTTCATCACATTACTCCTTATTATATCCTCTTAAACAAGCTGTGTATAATTCCTCTCCATATTAGCTTATACATGCTTGTGAAGAACAACATATGCCCAGTCTCTTAATGCTGACATTTAGCAGAACTCTATGCCTGGATGTATGTGTCTCTCTCCAGCTCCAGTCCTTGTAAATTATATTTACAGGAAACAGAACTCCTCTGACTGCCCACACAACCCATTAGTATGTTAGTTTAGTCATCCCCACCATTTAGTTTCTAGTTACAAGGATCACGACATTTTTGAATATAACTGCAAAACACATTTTAATATTTCTACCATGTAAAGAGAAAAAAAAATTGTTTCTTATTAAGAGGAAAATAAGATGATGAAATGGAGAAGAGTAGGGGATAGAGAAAATTAATAGCTTCTCTGGAAAAATGACGTTCACAAAATCCTCATCAAGCCCTGGTAGCATCCCTTCTCTTTGCAGAATGAAACAATGTGCCTCATCTGACCCACAGTGCTACATCTCCCATTGGAATCTTCTCCAGGGCAGCTTCTTCCCCAAAAATCACACCAGCTGCTAAACTGGAGTTTTTCTGCCAAGAAGCAAGAGTGGAAAGCCCATTTAGGTAAGACAGGAATGAGAAGGGCAAAAGTGAAACTATGCAACTAGCAGGGCAGGATAAAAAAAGGCACACGACACAAGTAAAAAGACAGAACTCCAGGATTCAACAGATAAAAGCAAATCAAATGAGAGAGAGAGAAGTAGAAGCTTTGGGACTCGGATGCAGGGGTCTCCTCACCTGACTGGCTGGTGCTGACATTGATGGTGGCAAAGTGGGGTGCTTCTGAGCTGAGCTCAGTGACGAGGTTGACGGCCTGGATCTCGAAGGTGTAGTGCACACGGGCCAGGAGGTTGGAGACCTGCACGCGGCTCTCGGTCAGCCCCACCTGGCGCGGCTCGAAGTGCACGCTGTCCCCGCAGCGCACGCACGGCCCCGCCGAGCCCGCCGGGCACACCTTGCAGATCACGTTGAAGAAAACGTCCTTGCGGCCGCCCAGGTCCTTGGGGAGGCGCCAGGTCAGCAGCACGTTGGAGCCCACGATTTCGTAGCTGAGGTCACGAGGAGCAGAGGGGATGCCTAGAAGGCAGAACGAAGGATCAAAATCCCAGGAAAGAATGGGAGAGAGGTGAGGGAAGGGAAGGCAGGAGGCAAAGCAAAGAGAAAAGAATAGAAGAATAAGTTGCTTCTTCTGCTCATTCTTACTCTTCATCAGTTCTTTCTAAGAGCAAGGCTAAGAAAAACATACTCTTTGCTACATCAAGCACACACATTAACAAAGGAACAACTGTATTAGCACATTTTAGACAAACAAAATTACAAAGAAGAGTCTTTGTTTCAAGGGTGTGACATTTTAATTTCCCGAAAAGAACAGTCATTGTTTAGGGAAGTGCCAATCCCTTGAAATTTTAAACTTCACACAAGCTTAGTATAGATTTATCTCTACTGAGACCTGTAATTCTCTCCTTTGGCACCTAATATCTCTGAACTTTCTCAGACTCTAGTTAGCCTGTTGCATTTGTTCCAGGAACTGGACACCAGTTTTGCCTGCAATTACTCCTGGTGCCAGCCAGATTCCTCAATGCCATCAGAGGTAAACTCTGACAGCTCAAGAAGTGCCCATCCTGTGCATCCAACACTTTCCTCGATGGCACAGAGACAGTGAGGAGAAGGAGGAAAATGCAGAGGGTGAGAAGAAGGCATGGAGATGAGAATGGGGCAAGACACTGCAGTTAAGAAGTGAAAAGTTCAGAAAGGTAGAAGTAGGCAACAGAATTGCACTGCTAAACCTGGGCACAGACACAAAGCAAGATGGGAAGGGGAGGGACAGAGAGGCTCAGCTCAGTAACAGGGAGGGGTAAGGGAAACATTATTTACAGAACATTTTCCTCTGAAGGCTGTAATGAAACCCAAGAATCATCATTCTCACACCATCACTCTGTAGTCAGGAGCAGGAGCAAAGGGAAGTTTTGGGTTGTCTCAAAGGTCTTGAGAAGAGTGGAATTGCAACCCCTTCCCCCAAATAATTTGGGCACATTTCTCTCTCATTAACTTCCCTTCTTGCTTTCAAACACTTCATCCAAACACTTACCAGTGCAGGGAGCATCAGAATTGTCCGAAGCAGATCGGTAGTACCGGTTCTGACACACACATTCCCGGGAACCCGGCAGTGGAGCGTGGCTGTGGGCAGGGCACAGGTGGCAGGGGTCATCTCCCACAGATACTTTAAAGAAACCAGGGGCACAAGCTAAGAGGAGGAAAATAAGAGAGGCAAAAGCAGGAAAATCATTAATTCAGATTTCAGAAACACTGTAATCTAATTTACATTTAACTTCTGCTGCTGGGAGAAGTTCTTGCATAGAGCTACTGCTGGTTTTGGTTCTTTATGGAGCATATTTTGTCCAAGTTGCCATTTCAAAACAGTTTATTTTATTCTGTATGTAATTGCTTAAATTGATTCACTGGCAGATGAAAGAGAACCAGTCCTGAGACAGCTTTGGCCACCTCAAATAATTGTCTTCTCACTATTCACTCAAAGCGCTTTTAAATTGGAGAAGTCAAGGAGCCCAGCCAAGCGATTTGTCTTGAAATATCAAACAGTTACCCACACCTCCTTCTCCACACTCAACACAGCCACAAAATTGGATTTTTTATGCTGCCTACAACAGTTTCATTGCTTAAAGTAATATACACTACCATTGCTGATTTTGCATTAAAACTAAGAGCAGACACTAAGACTGGCAGTCCTATTTTTTTTCCTGTAGGTCTGAAAACTTCCCAGTAATGGATAAAAGTATGTTAATTAGTCAAATTTAATCTGCAAATGCATGTATATGCAACAAGTATATGCAACAAGTTGAAACAAGGATGGAAATCCATCCTACAGGGAAAGAAAATGAAAAATGAAAAAATAATTTATTAACAATATGGGAGTATGGCACATTTTAGGTTTGGCAAAGAGGCCTAATAGGAGGTGCTTGGACCTTATATAGAAGTGCTAGGATACAGCTTTTACTGCTTTTATGTATGTTTTCTAAAGCTGATTTTCTATATAAATAGATACAGCTCTTTTAGATTTTATGGACTAACAAGCTCAGGTGAAAGTCCATTTGCTGCTGACATTTGGCTTGTTAATTTCACAATAAAGAGCATTTATAAGGAATGGGAAACTTTCAGATAGACCCCAGATAAAAGCAGAACTATTCAAACAAGCAGAATATTCCAATGGATTGAGGATAGCAAAAATTACCTAAAAGAGGCAAAGCAAGTAAGAGAAGAATATTGTACAGAGCTGTTATATGAAATCAGAATCATATGTGTTCAATCCCCCTTGAGGCTACAGGCACAGTCCAGAAATAACAGCCAAAAACATCTGTGAAGTCCCATCAGGTTTATGCTTCTTGTATTACTTCATCCTCTCTGTCAAAACACTTCTAGGATGCACAGAGCAACCTCCACATGTACACAGATAAGAGTGATCAGCCCTGGAACAGGCCAGACCACAAAGAGGACTTCAGTAACTCTGAATGATAGCTATTAGATAGGGGAACACTGTTTCTTTCCAGCACAAAAAAATGACGACACTCAGTGTGTGATATATTGCCATTTGGAAAGGAAAGGGGAAGAAGAGACTGTAATTTTTCATGTGATAGATGATGGTTAAGAAAAGTGCAACTGTCTTTGTCTTCAGGCCTTTATCCAGCAGAAAATCAAATTATTCCCATATGGAGAGATACGTCCATATGTATGGACAAGAAAGAGTATGTAAGATTTTATCCACTTCATAAACTATATACCTTTCACTCAATTTTAGGCTCTCTGAACAGCCACAGATGTAGAATATAATATTCACACTTCTTGGCATATGCATTTGTACCGAAACTACAAGTAGTATGAATGGGAAGTTCTCATCCAATATGCTGCAAAGTCATTCAACTAAAATTTCAGGGATCTTTCTTTATTTCAAGTTTGAGAATGCTGAAATTAATGTGAACGGCTTTAGTTTCTTAAAAGTAATTTTATCTCATCTGTTTTTTCTTGCATCAAACTCCTTCTTGAGCTTTTGCTGAAGCTTAGAACTAATGATACATTCTGACTGCTAGTCACAATAATGAAAATGAACAGGTAATGGTAATGTCTGCCATGTATGTGATGCTAAAGGGAAATCTGTAGAGGGTACAGACTTCACCGCGGAAGTACAAAACCATATTTACCCTACAAGGACAGTGCAAAAGATTTCAGGTAAATTCACCTTTAGCCCAATTGCAAATCATATGGAAAGCTAGCAAAGCTGTGAATGAGGAATTTGTCTGGTGTTTAATAAATAAAATTAATTTAAAAATAAACATGTTGTGTTAAAATAGATACATCTATTTTTACAGAGTTCTTTTAACATCTACTGGCAACTTGCTGTTGAGCCTGGGGATGGAGGGGTGAGGTCTGCAGAGATGGCTAATTCGCTGTTGATGAATTAGCCAAAGGCAGTAAGCACAAGTGCAGTGCTGTAGGTTTTATGCAATGGAACAAAACGGTTTCTTTACCACCTCAGTAAAGAAAAGCAGTCTGTATAAGTTACCTCTATTGGCTTAAAAGCACCTCTGTTGCTTAAAAGGCCATGCAAGATTTCATCCATGTTATGGGCAGTCACTCCAAGTGACCATAAACATTCAAAAGCTGCTTGTAAAAACCAACCAACCAACCAACCAACCAACCAACCAACCAACCCACAGAGCAAGAACACAAGCCTCTGGACAGGGACACGGTGCCAGCTAATGGCTAACAATGTTATCTGCTTGTATCACTGATGCAGTACACCGCTATAGGGACAACACTGGAACAGCTATGTGTAACAAACACTAGTGATCAAATACTTGTACCTGTTCTTAACTGCCTCACAAAATCTAATTGCACTGTCCATGCACTGTGCTTGGCATTACATGTCTGAACCATATGCAAAAGTAGGTTATTGCTGTCTCCCCAAGCACTGCCCAGGGTCCAATGTCTTTTGTCTTGTGACACTGAGCTGATTCCTTGCTACCTAAGAGATCTCTTACTCACTGAGGCCACATCTATTTTTGAGTGCAATCCCAGAACTGTGAGAGTCACTCAATGAAGAATTGTTTATTTAGGTTCAAGAGTAATGACAGCATGAGAACAGGTGACTTTACAGTAAATTACTGTAAAGTAAATTAAGTTTAAACAAGAATATTTCCACCAACTAAAGTAGCAGGCTTCTGAGAAAAACTTCAAATACAGGCAGTAGACAAAAAAAAAAAAAACCAAAACCCAAAACAAAAACCAAAACCAAAAAATCCCCAAAAAACAACAAAAAAGCAAAAAGCCTAACCACATTTAAGAAGGAACCTGGCCTGTTTATGAAGCAATTTTGATACAGTTGCCATTTACATCTCTTCCTTCCAACATCTCCAGGCCAAATATTCCCTTGTCCTTTATTTACTTTAGCACAGTAAAGCAGCCACATAGGCTCATTAATAAGCACTCCACTAGAGCTGAGTGAACTGAAGAAACAAAACTTCACTGCAGCTGTTCCACCAATAAACAAATTTTAGTAATATGCTCACATGTCCTCTGTGCTACACCAGAGCAGACTGATGTCTTGGCTATACCAGACAGCATTTGATGTTTACCCATGAAAAACTGGATGGAGCCCAGAGCTGACAGCAGGAATTAGCCTCCCATTCATTGGATCTTCAAGGGGGACTACAACCAGCCTACTGTACTGGAGGAGGAACACAGCAGGACATAAGGGCTCCAGAAGTTCCTGGAAAGGATTGGGAACTACTTCCTGACCCAAGCAATAGAGGAGGCAATGAGGGGATGTGTCTCCCTGGACCTGATGCTCACAAACAAGGAAGGGCTCACTGGTGATGTGAGGGTTGAAGGCTGCCTTAGCTACAGTGACCGTGGTGGAGTTAAAGATCCAGAGTGCAGTGACCAGAGCAAAGAGCAAGCTCACAACACTGAACTCCAGGACAAGCAGATGTGACAACTTGGGTGATCTGGAGGAGTCCCATGGGATAACACCCTGGAGTGAAGAGTGACTCAAAGAAACTAGTTCATGTGCAAGGATTACCTCTTCCAGGTGCAAAAGCACTTCATCCCAACAAGCACAAATTCAGGCAAAAAATGCCAACAGGCCTGCATGTTTGAACAGAGCTCCTAGAACAGAAAGGAAGTATATGGAGTCAGAAGCACGGACAGGTAGCCTGAGAGGAACATAGAAGCACAGTCCAAACACGTAGACACATGGCTAGGAAAGCCAAAGTCTACCTGGAATCACATCTGGCACAGGATGTCAAAAGTGAGAAGAGTTTCTCTAAGAAGAGAAGTGGCTCAAGGAAGACTAGAGAAAATGTGGGTAACACAGGACAAATTCTTCACATCAGTCTTAACTAGCAAGACCAGCCTTTCGGAACTCTAGGTCCTGGACACCTCAGGGAATTCTGCAGCAAGGATGATGATCTTTAGCTTCTACTCAGCTTTGGTGAGGGTACACTTGGAGACTCACGCTAAACTGTGTTGAGTTTTAAGCTCAACACTAAACCATGCTGAGTTTTGGGCTCCCCAGTACACTAGAGACGTTAACATACAGAGGGCCATAAAGATGATGAAGGAGATGGAGTATTTCCCACAGGAGGAGAGGCTGATAGAGATGAGACTGCTCAGCCTGGGGAGGAGAAGGCTTCCAGCAATCTCATGAATGAGCACAAACAGCTGAAGGGAGGAAGTGAAGAAGACAGCTCTTTTCAGTGTTTCTCAGTGACAGGCCCAGAGGTGAACAGCACAAACTGCAACACAGCAGGTTCCCTCTGAACACAACGAAGCAGTTTTTTACCATGAGGGTGACCAAGCACTGAAGCAGATTACTTAGAGGGGTTTTAGAGTCTCCTTCCTTAGAGAAATTAAAAAATAGTCTGGACCTACTTGCTAGAGATGACCCTGCTTGTGCAGGGAGGGGCTTAAGGTGTACTCCAGAGATCCCTTCCAAGTTCAGCTATTCTTTGTTTTCCCTTAAACATAAGCCAATTAAAATGTGTGGATAGAGCCCTGTGGCCTTGGTTGCCTCACTGCCAGATCATTCATCACATACATGATTGCAGGTGGGTGGACAAGGAACAATGAATGGAAAGTTCTTGACACTAGACTACATCTCATTTCAGATGTTCAGAAGTGAAATGAGAATAGGATTGTCAGGTTCCCTCTGAGGGAAGGGCCTAAAAAAAGACT